TAGCGGGTAGGGAATTGAGCCCCCAACACTAAGGCAGCCAGTTCAAATCCACCAGCGGCCCCGTGGGCAATTTCCTCCCACGTGATTCAGAGGCTCTAATAACATGCTGGTGGGTCAGCTATGAGTCAATTCCAACTCAACAGCAATAAGAAAGTTGAGAGATATAAAATAACACACAGTAAAAATTGTAGGAAAATATTCTTCAAAAGTCTTACAGTGGCTGTCTTGGATTGTGAGATTATGTATTTTCCTCCTCTCTAATTAATAAAAAGGAATTTTTATGGTATATTACTTAAAGTGCAAAAAATATGCTATATATACACAATTGTGATGGGAATGTGGTCTGAGGAGAGAGAAACTGTTGTGGGGGAGGTTTATTATTGTGGTAGTACATAACTTATCCTAACTAGCATGCAGCCCCAATCTCTAGAGTATTACCTTATGCTCCTAGTTGACTCTGACCTGTGGCAACTTTGTGTTTTGTCAGAGTAGCATGTGCTCCACATCCAGGGCAGGATTTTCAAGGGCTGGTCTTTCAGAAGTAGAATGCTTAGATAACTTCTAAGTGGACTCGAACGCCAACCTTCTGGTCAGCTCATCAGCCCAGTAACTGTTTTCATTCAGTAGTCGGGGGGGTGTCTCGTGACATAACCTGTAGGGAATTGTGTTTCTAACCTAAAAGGCTGGGTCTCTCACGGTGCGAATCCACCAGCAGATCCTAGGGATCCTCCTGTGAGATTTATAGCTTTCAGAACCCTGCTGGAGCGTCAGCAGAGTCCTGATTATATGGCAACAGGTGAGCCAGTGAATTGAAAGGAAATGCCTATCTATCTTACAAATGCTCGGAAATTTATCATCAAGCTATTGTAGAGGAAGATGCAAACTAGAGGCTGGAGTATCAAGAGAAGCATTTTGTTCTCTTTAAAAAAAAGAACATGCATTGTATGTATATATTTTTTGCAGTGTAAGTAATATACCATAATAATGTAATTGATTTTTATTACTTAGAGAGGAGGAAAATACATAATCTCACAATCCAAGACAGCCACTGTAAGAATTTTGATAAATATTTTCCTAGTATTTCTACTGTGTGTTATTTTACATCTCTCAACTCTCTCCTTGCTGTTAAGTTGGAATCGACTCATAGCTGACTCATCAGCAGGTCATTAGAGGCTGTGAATCACATGGGAGGAAATTGCCCACGGGGCCACTGGTGGATTTGAACTGGCTGCCTTTGTGTTGGCAGCTCAACTCCCTACCCACTAGGCCAGCAGAGCTCCCTTACGTTGATTATAATTATACCACATGTATCATTATACAAAAGCTTCATCTCACATACTTTGGGCATGTTACTAAGAGAGGCTATTCCTTGGAGAAGGACATCATGCTTGGAAAGATGAAGGGTTGGTGAAAGAGAGGAAGACCCTCAACCATATGTAGGTAGGCACTGAGATTGTGCCAACAGACTCAAGTGTGTCAGAGATGACGAGGACAGCAAGGACAGGACAGGGTTCAGATCATTGTTCACGCTATGAGTTGTACTTGACTAGATGGCACCTAACAACAATGATGTTTACCTCAGACTGTCACTGAGCTCTACATATCCATGCAACTCTTCATCCTTATCCAGTTAGAGCAGGAGGAGCATTTCTGAAGGGCAGCTGGGCCTGGCTCATCTCTCTGGCATCCACTTTGCACTCTCTCCACCATTCACACACACACATCGCCACCCACGCCCAGAACAGCACCCAGACACAGGCACGTCCTATAGCATCAGGATGATGAAGGAGTTTGTGTCCACACCACACAGTATAGAGGGATCTCAGACTGTACTTAAACAGACACTGAATCCTCCTTCTAACAATCTGGCCCTGTAGTCATCTCCATGGCTCAATGCTGACAACCCTGGGTTGGTGCCCACTATGCTCTGAAAAAGGTCAATTCACCAGGCTGGGACATTAAGAGCCAGTGGACTCTTCCCAGGCCTTGCCTTATAAGACTTCCCTGGGCATCTCTCACTTCATAGTCTGATCTCTCACCATGTTTGGCTTCATGCTGACACACTGGCCACCCTGACCTGCTAGCAGCTCACTCCATGTATCACTTTGTCTGACTTCCCCTCTCCCTTTTCAAACTGGCAAAACTAAAAGTGCTCTTCTCAGAACAACAGACACATTCTTACTCTATCAGGTTCTAATCAAGGATGAATTCCTACAGGAATAATGAGAATAATGTCCTCTCTTCTGCTCCCTCTTCACCTTGTTAATAAAATTCTGTCCTATTAACTTGTATCTCTCCAAAGTGCTAAAGAACAGGGATATCAGTCTAGAGACTAGACTAAGGTGCATCTGATCCAAGCCATGGTCTTTGCAATTGCATCGGACAGTGACTAAGGATGACAGAAGAAGAACCGAAGCCTTTGAGTTGTGGTGCTGGAGAAGAATCTTAAACATACCATGACTGCCAAGAAAATAAACAGGTCTGTCTTGGAGAGGGTGAAACCAAGTTTCTCCTTGGAGGCTAGGATTTTGAAAGTCCATCTCACATATTTTGGGTATGTGGCCAGGAGGGACAGACCCTTGGAGAAGGACATCATGCTTGGAAGGGTAGAGGGACAGTGCAGGAAAGGAAGACCCAGGAAGAGATGGACTGACACAAGTGACTGGCGTAATGGGAGGAGGTGTGTCAGAGTTAGAAAGATTGGCTCAGGACAGGGCAGGCTTCAGAGCTATTGTGACACTATGAGTCACAGGCAACTCGAGGGCACATAACAACAATATCATCCTATTAATACTATTATCATGCACTCACTCACTCTCATTGCTACCAAGTTGGAACTGACTCACAGATGGCCCTCTAGGGAGTTTTCAGGATCCCTAAGTTAATGAGAAGATAGCCCATCTTTCCAGAGCGCAGGCTTCGGATCAGCAGCACCACTCCCTATGGACTACACCACCTCACCTCCCTGATACTGTGATGCTAGAGCTGGAGCAGGAGAGGAAGCCCCCAGACGACATGGACTGACACAGTAACTGTGGTAACCTGGGTAGGTGTGTTGGAGACAGTGAGACTGGCTCAGGATAGGGCAAAGTTCAGAGCTATGAGTTGCAGGCTACTCAATGGCACAGAACAACAACAGCAGTGGCATAATCTGTAGGGAATTGTGCTGTGAACCTGAGGGTGGAACCTCTTACAGTTTGAACCCACTAGCACCTCATGGGAGAAAGGTGGGCAATTTCCTCTTAGAAGATTTACAGCTTCCAGAGGGTCAGCTGTGAGTTGGATCTAATTCGACAGCAACGAATGAATCTTAAGTATCATATTATAATGAATATACATATTGTAAAATCAGGTGCTATTAACTAATATTATTATGTTGTTGTTATTGTTATATACCATCAAGTCTGAACTGACCCATTGCTGACCCTCCAGAGCGTTTTCAGAGGCAGTAAATTACATGGGAGGAGACTGTCTTTCTCCCATGGGGCAGCTGGTGGATTCAAACCATGTACCTATGGGATGACAGTACAGTTTCTTTCCACTAGGGCACTAATACTATTATAGTAACACACCTTAATAATTACAATTGTAAATAATTCTTTTTCTAGTTAATACTACTTCTTTATTCTCATTTGTTCCCATGACTATCTCTCACTTTGGATTGTAAAGTAAGGGGTATGATTTATTGGGTTTGGAGTCCTCCATGTCCGATAGAGAGTGAAGGATTAATAAATGTTTGCGGGGGGGGGGGGAAATTAGTTAAGCAAATACAATATTGCTGATAGTTTTATTGGTTTACCTGGCACTGGCTCAGGGCTTCAAGCTCCTACCTCCTTTTCAGTAAATAGGCCAGACTGATAGATGCATCAGTAATTATAACCACGTCCCTAAGTGAGACACAGAGCAAACTCTAAAAGTCCAGGAGTTGAGCATTGCCTCCAGAAACACCACCCATCTACCCATTCACTTCCTGGCAGTCTCCTGCCAAGTGCATCTTGGATTTCAAGTTCTCAGTCAGAGCTAGCCAGGATGAAAGCTGGCTCTGCCGAGGGCGTGCATTTGTGGCACTTAATTTTACCACAGTCCTGTCCATTTCTATTTCTGTGTGTGATCAGCCAAGAGAGGTGAATCTCAAACTCTGTTGGGAACCCTTACAAGGCTCCCCTTAAATGCTGTTTTAAAGGTTTGTCATGGGGAGGGGGGAAGGTGCTTCCTTATGGAAATATTTTCTGCTCCAAACTGTATCTAATTACAATGATAAATTGCAAAGTGTATCAGAAGCCATTTTGTACTTTACCCACTGAGATAATAAGTGAAATCTTCGTAGCACTGAAAAGAGAATGACTTTAAAAACAAACCACCCCAAACTAATAATGCCTGTTAAAGACGTAGGACTTTTTGCTGTTCTCCTGAGTGAGCTTTTCCCATCCACCTTTTCTGTTCCCACACCCACTCATGTGTTTACCCCCAAACTGGGAGCTCCCCTCCTTCTCCCTCACTGCACATTCAGCCCACCACATAGTCAGGTGTCTCTCCTGAACCAGAACACTGCTGAAAAGTGAAGACAGTGCAACTTCCACTCGCCCCCTTAGGATGTCAGCAGAGAAGGCCCTGGCTGCTCTCTCTCCTGGTGACTTTTAACTTCTTCTTCATCCCTGTTTGAAATCCTTGCAATGCGCCTAGAAAACGGCATTGTGTTTGGTAGAGAGTCAGCACAAATGCATCCACCTCAGTGAGATGGATCGGCACAAGGACCAGACAATAGATTCACCAGCCAACAAGCACGAAGATGGTGCCGCTCGGACCACTGTTCATTCTCTTGTACAATCAGATTGCCTTGAGCTCGCTCCAACTCAACAACTAAAATAAAAAACCATCCGCTTCTCTCTCCCCAGGCGCTACCCCAGCTGTCACCTCTCCCAGCACTGCAGCCTCCTCATAGCTTGAGCCTTTGCAACCACTGCCTTTGGCTACTCTCAAGACCAAGTCATGGACCGCACATGCCGTGAAGTCTTCAGAGAGTAGCTAGAAGAATCCCTTAGGAAAGGGATATAATATTTCTTTTATTGTGGGTGTTGTTGAGACTGTACCTAGCAGAATATAAGCCAATTTAACAATGTCTACATACATAGCACAGTAATATTGATTACATTCTTCTGGTTCTGCAAATATTTTCTCCCTCCTTTTTTTAACTCCTAACACAAATTCATTGTACCCTAAGTTCTCTAACTAAGCTTTTGAACTTCTATTGTCAATTCGGCCTCATGTAGATAGATCCTAAAAGATGATAATGCTCACATTATGCTGAGTAAAATATCTCAGTCACAAAAGGACAAATACTGCATGGTGCCACTGTTGTAGAAAGTGACTGACATCAGGGTTGGGGTAAAACTGAGAAAAACTGGATAGATTATGTATACTGAATTGAAACAGATGAGGGAGGGAACAGTTTAAAAGTGATATATGATAGCATATTATGATTATCACAGGAATCCAGAATTAAGGTTGCATAGCAGAATGCATTGGGGGGGTTGGGGTCTAGGTCGGGGGGATTGTATACCAACAAAGAAGTTTATCTTTTGCTTTTCAAAGAGAGGAGCAAACGGGGGGAAGGGGGTGAAGAAAAAAGTGCAACAATGAATGAATGAAAATCCAAAATCTCTGTAAATGTTCATTAAAATTAATAAAATTTTTTTAAAAAGATGATAATGATGAAGGCAAACTTTTTTTTAATAGTTAAGCTTAACTATTGTTTACTTTAAAGGAGACTTCAAGGGTTATGCTTGATTTAAAGTTCAGAGATTATCTCAGGGCATAAACAGTTGTTGTCTCCTTTGCTGCAACCAGAAGAAATGGATGGCTCCCAGTCACCCTCACTGAACTTTCTGATAAAACATTTTATAGAAGAATCTTGGTCAAAAGTGTGGAAATGAAGAAGACAATCTCAAATTCTTGTTTCTGGAACTAAGGAGGCCAGATGAATCCCGTAAACAATTACCCAGAACAATCCTTTATAAAACTAAAACTTGACAAGCATAACCTGCCTACTTAAAATAGCTAAGTGATTTTCTCTATTGCATTTTGTCACCCCTGCCAAACACTCCTGTTGGTCCAGTTCTTCTCTCCCTTTCCCTACCCGAGATCCCTAGACAAATTGTTCTCATTTGAGCTCCCCCTCTCAGGACTTCTCTTTGTCTTTCTACCCCTAACACATCACTTTTTTTAAATGAGGTTGGTTCCATGTGTTATGGAGCAGACAGACTTGCTCTCCATAAGGCTTTCTTGCCTATAACTGTTACAGAAGCAAGTCTCCCTCTTTCTACCTCAGCATTGCATGGCAGGTTTGAACAGCCAATGTTATTTCAGTTATAGATGATCAGGGACCGTTAGCATCCTTTTATTGTTGTTGTTGTTACATGCTGTCACATCAAGTTCAACTTAATGACCTTATGAACAGATCTGAATTCTGTCCTATCCTGTGCTATCCTCATCATCTCAGACACACTAATGACCACTTCTGCAGTCATGCATCTATGTGGCTGAGGGTCTTCCTCTCTTTCACCATCCCTCCAACTTTCCAAGCATGATGTCCCTCTCCAAAGAATAGCCTCTCCTAGCAACAAGCCCAAAGTATGTGAGACGAAGCTTCGTCATTCTTGCTTCCACGGAGCGCTCTGGCTGCACCCTCTCCAGGGCCTATCAGTTTGTTCTTTTGGCAGTCCATGGGAAATTCAGTACTCCAACACCACAGCTCAAAAGCATCAATTCTTCTTCTGTCTTCTTTATTGATTGTATAGCAAGAGACTGAAAAGACCATCACCATCCTTTTAGGCTCTGCCTAAATGTTACTTACCAAAAAACCCAAACAACTTTCCTGTCTATTCTCTTCCCTAGTGATTTCCCCCCTCCTTTATTTTAGTTTTGGTTTTTTTCTCTTGGTGCTTTTAAACTTTTCTTTATCATGGTCTAAAATCACAAATAAATGTTTTACTATTTCTTCATATCTGTCCCTCCCTCCAGACCTGTACAGAGATATTGGAGGTTCAGCTCCTGATTACTGTCATAAAGCAAGGATCACCACAAAGAAGTCACAGAGTCTGTTGGGATCCCAGTACAAATAAGTTATGTTTCTCCTATGCAGCAGTCAATATTAAGTGTGCAATAGTATTATGAAGATGTTTTTGATATTGTGGGAACTGCACAGAGACACAAAGCAAGTACATGCTGTTGGGAAAAATATGGTGCTGGTAGACTTGCTTGATACAGGCCTGTTGCAAATCTTTAATTTATAAAAAAAAATGCAGTATCTTTAAAGTGCAATAAAGGGAAGTACAATACCATGAGATGTGCCCATCACTTGTCTACACAGAGATGTATTATAAACGTTAAGACACACAATGCAAATGCTCTCAATAGTTCTTTATATTGACTGCCTGTTGGAATGGCAATATTTCTTACATATCTCTTTCTTGGCACCAGCAGCCAGGAAATCAAAAGACAAATTGCATTGAGAAAGTTTGCTGTCAGAGACATCTCCAGAGGACTGAAGAGCAACGATATCAGTCTGGAGACTGAGGTGTGCCTGATCCAAGCCGTGGTCTTTGTAATTATGTGCTATGCATCAGAAAGCTGTACAATGACTAGAGATGATAAAAGAACTGATGCCTATGAGCTGTGGTGCTGGAGAAGAGTATTGACTAGACCATGGACTGCTAAGAGGACAAACAAGTTTGTCTTGGAGAGGGTGAAACCAGGCTGTTTCTTGGAGGCAAGGATTCTGAAATTCCATCGAACATACTTTGGGCATGCTGTAAGATGAGACCAGTCCTTAAAGAGGGACATCATACTTTGGAGGGTGGAAGAACAGTGCAGAAGGGGTAGACTCTGGATGAGATGGATTGACTCAGTGACTGGGGTAATGGGAGTAGGTGTGTCAGAGACAGTAAGTTTAGCTCAGAATAGAGCAAGGTTCAGAGGTGTTGTACACAGGGTTGCTATAAGTCACAGACAACTTGTTGGTAACTAACAACAACATTCCCTTAAATATAGTTATTGTTACTGCTGTTGTTATTATGTGCCATCGAGTTGTCTGCGACTCATAGTGACCCTATATAAAACAGCCTTAAACTCTGCTCTGTCCTGTACCAATCGCACTGTCCCCGATACACCCATCCCGATTACCCCAGTCACTGAATCAATCCACCTCATAGAGGCCCTTCCTCTCCTGTACTGACCCTCCACCCTCCCAAGCATGATGTCCCTCTCCAAGGACCGGTCCCTCCTTACAACATGTCCAAAGTATGTCAGACGGAGCCCCAGAATCCTTGCCTCGAAGGAGCATTATTAAAATTTATTTCATCTGCTTCTTTTTTTAAATTTCTTTAATAAGGACCAGGAAGAATTCAAATTGCTTCTGTGGCTCACATCTTGTGTCTGCTGGCTAGCACTGCTCTCAAATGTCATCACCATGAAGGATGGTGACAAAAGGACTCTGTCCATTGCCTTCCTTATTGCAAAATTCCCAGTCTTTTATGGCCCCTGGGACACGCTGAACTGACTTCAGTAAGTTGCTGAATAAAATAAAATTAGTTGAGCAACCAAAGGAAAAATTCCTGATTTAAAAGACCATCGCATGGTGACAGATACTGGATGCGTGTAACCCCATTCCCATTTTGTATGAAGTAATGAGAGGGAAGGAGCCCTAGTGCCAGAATGGTTAAACACTTGGCTGATAAACGAATGACTGGTGATTCAAACCTGTCTAGCAGCTACAGTAAGAGATCCTGCAATCTTCTCCCATAAACATTAAAGCTAAAAAAAAATCCTACAGAAAATCTCAATAAAAAGCCTACTTATAAAACAAACTTTTGGGTCTGCTTTCACCGGGGAGGAGCCGGGTCCAGTCATGAGTCGATTTAAGTTTGTCGATGAAGTTCAGGCTATAGTAGAGAGAGCTGTACAGATTGGTGTTAAAAAGGTATTTTGAAAAACAGTTTGAACTGTCAGAACAAACAAAAGTGCCTATGTCTCTTCATTGTCAAAACTCACATGCTGAATTTCTGGACATAATGAAAAGAAATAGAGACCGACGCGTAGGAGGAGTGGTACACTCATTCGACAAGACCAAGGAAGCGGCCATCACCCTGCTTGACCTGGATCTGTACGTAGGGGTCAACGGTTGTTCACTGAAAACTGAGGCTAACTTAGAAGTTTTGAAGTCAATACCTAGTGAAAAGTTAATGATTGAGACTGATGCCCCGTGGTGTGGAGTCAAAGGCACACATGCAGGACCAAAATACATAAAAACATCCTTTCCAACCAAGAAGAAGTGGGAAAGTGGGCACCACCTGAAAGACAGAAATGAACCTTGCCATATAATCCAAATACTGGACATCATGTCGGCAGTAAGAGATGAAGACCCACTGGAATTAGCCAATACTCTCTATAACAACACCATTAAAGTAATTTTCCCTGATATGTAATTGCATTATCTTCCATTTTCAATCATGTATGCAAAACTTACCGAAAGCATCAATAAAGGGTTTTAACTGGAAAAAAACCCCAACTTTTGATATTGTTAGCTCAGTCACATGGGGTCACCATGAGTCAAAATTGATTTGACAGCACAACAACAATAGTACTAGGAAGTTTCTGACCAGGGTCTGTCGCGACAACAAACTGAGGCCCTTTCTGGAAAGAAAACAGGCCGTGAACCAGAGAGTGAAAAAGCTACTGGAAAAGAGAAGGCACTGGAGGGTCTTAGACCCCAGGTTGTCACACTTTCCTAGCCCCTAAAGCCAGGAACCCACTTAATAATAGTTATGACCCCAAAATTAGATGATTAACCAAAGCTCTGCTCAAGCTCCAAGACAACACTGTTTGGTTGGTGGTGCTGTTGATTTTGATTCAGACCCACAGTGACCCCAGGTGACAGAGTAGAATGGCCCTGAGGGTTTTCTCGTCTGTAGTCTAGGTGGTGTCTGTTATTTGGTGCCTCTGAGTCAGAACTACCTTGTAGCTGACTCTCTAGCAAGTTTTCAGAGGCTGTAATCACACAGGAGGAGACTGTTCATCTTTTCCCCTTGAAGCACCTGGTGGATTCGAATCACCTGCCTTTGGGTTGGCAGCACAGCTCCTTAACCACTAGTCCACCAAGGCGGATGGTCAGAAAAAGGGAGGAAAACCCTCAACAAGATGGATTAGCACAGTGACTGTAACAAGAAGCTCATTCATATGAGAGATGGTGAGGATGGCACAGGATAGGGCAAGGTTCAGATCTGTTGTTTACGTGGTTGTGAAGAGTCATAGTGGACTTAATGGTACTTAACACCAATAACAACAGTCTTTACAGCAGTAGATTGCCAGTTCTTTTCTCTTGGGGAGCTACTTGATAAACTGGTCAGCAGCCAGGCACTTAAACTTTACCCCATCATGACAACACCAGTGTTCATTAAACTATGATTAGTTCCAATTAAAGATTTCAGACAGTGATACCAAGTTACAATAGCTGTTTGTTTTTCATTCTTGTCTACGAATCAACTTTGATTCCAGGGCTGCCCCAGCCTGTGCTCCAGGGCACACGATTCTCACAAGGATCTCCATGAGAATGGACAAGGAGCTAACAGTTTCGGCAATGCTGCTCTATTAAGACTTTTGATGTTGATTGTTTTTAGAAGGCCCCGCAAAGACTGTCAATCATAAAACAAGTAGACTTTGTTGATGCTAGCTTCTCCCCAAATTATCTGACCCCTGAATATCTGCTAACAGCCTTAGAAGCTGGCACTCCTGAGAAATACATTCTAGGAAAGGCTAGTCTGAGCTTAGTTTGCAAAACCATAATTAGTGATAAATTGCTCTAATCTTGTGGCTAATCCCACCTATGGGAAACCCAGCTATGATAATTTAAGCAGAGTTCAACAGAAACAGCTGCCCTTTACTGAGTAAGAGAGGCAGTGGTGGTTCTGTGGCAGAATTCTTGCCTCCCATGCAGGAAATCCAGTTCCAGTTCCCAGTGAGTTCACCTCACGCACAGTTTCCATCCTCCATCAGCGAAGGCCTGTCCCTTACTGTGATGCTGAACAGGCTTCCCTACGGTGTCCTGACTAAGACAGACTAGGAAGAAAGGCCTATTTTCACAATCAGCCAATGAAACCTTATAGCTCACAACTTCCAGTCTCAAATAACCATGGGGACGTCCCAGGACTAGGCAGCATTTTGCTCTGTCGGCCACAGAATCACAGCAAGAGGGGGTGAAGACAGTAACAGCTGACACAATAGCAATAACATGAACAGCTTTCCACAGAGGCCTGTGAACAGCTACTGATGAATGTGTGTGGTTGTCCAAAGCAATAAGGAAATAAAGAACTATTAGTCTATTACATGCCCAAACCAAGTACGCACCCCATCTATTGCCATGGATGGAGTAGATTCTGGCTCACGGTGAAGGACACAGCAGGGCTGCTCCATACGGGTTCCAAGGATGATGTATATGGACGCAGGCTCCATGGAGTATTGGGCACAAGCTCATCTTTCTTCCTAGGAGTGGATGGTGAATTAGAACCCATGACCTTTAAGCTGGTAGTCCAGTGCTTTCCCACTACACCATCAAGATGCCTTAAAGCCAATTCTACCCACTGCCATCAAGTCTATTCTAACTCACAGTGACCCTCCATCAGGCTTCAGGGGCTGTAAATCCTTCCAAGAGGAGCCTTGTCCATCTTTCTCCCTTGGAGCAGCTAGTGGATTCAAATCTCTGACCTTTTGGTCAGCAGCCCAATGTGTTAGGTGCTACAAAACCAGGGATTATTAAGCCAATTAGACGACCCTCCGTTTCGCCACATTTTGGAGTGCAGATGTGAGCAAGCAGTCTCAAAGGAGAGTGAAAAGACTTGGCAGAATGTGCAGTTCCCCCCATCCCCGACCTGCACCCGGACCGCACAGCCCTGCCCTGCACCGCAGGCTGACTTGCAGCCCTATAGATCCTGCCAATCGCGGTTCCCTGCGTACACTTTCAGCGTGGTGCTCACAACCAGGGCTCGGAGAACCTAGGAAAACGTCTCTGTACATCCTTAGAATCGTATTTTCATTTAAGGATGGAAAAAGTATTAATTTCTTTCTCCATTCCATTACCTAAGGCGCCCTAAAGGCTGTTAGTTCGATCCACCACCTGTGCTCTGAGTGAGAAAAATGAGGCCGTCTCCTTCCATAAAGGTGCCAAAACCTGCTTGCTAGAGGGTGGGCATGTGCTGGAATTGACTCGACAGCAGTGAGTTTTGGGTTGTGTTTCAGGGGTTGAGGCTCTGGGGTGGGGTGACTATTTCCAGACGCCCAGGTATGCCTTGTGCTAGCTGTGTGGTCTTGGGAAGTTAGACAGCTCCTCTGTTTTCTCGGCCATAAAATACTATCAGTACAGCGCTCACCTTAAAGGCCTGACGTGAGGAGGGTTAGGGAGTGAAGATACACCCACACCTGTAAACGTGAGTGATGTGCAGGAAATGTTCCCACGCAGCTCCTCCTCCAAACAGCGCTGATTCGGAAGGGTGTGTTAAGCACCAACGCAGCTCTGCAGACGCCATGGTGAGGAGGCCGACCGGTGCCTGCGCTCACCGCCTGGGCCAGCCAATGGCGGCTGCAGGATTGGCTGTGCCCAGTTTACCAAAAGCTTGGCATTTGAGGACTCCTCCAGGGTTACATCTTGTGTAAAACCTCTACGTATTCTACTATGTTGACAAATGAAGGGCAAGACATTTTTGCACACCTTGTATGTGCCAGTTCAAGACTCCACAAAACCTGCTGTGTAACACATTATTCCATTTATTAGCTTGATGAGCAACGAAGACACAAAGATGTTAAGTAACGTGTCCAAAGTCACACAGCTAGTCAGTGGCTGTTGCTGTTACGGTATACTTTCGAGTCGGAACCGACTCATAGCTGGCCCTCCAGTGAGTTATCAGAGAGAGTAAATTGCACAAGACAAGACTGTCCATCTTTTTCCCATGGAGCAGCTGGTGGATTTGAACCATGTACCTTAGGGCTGGCAGCACAAATCCGAACCACTAAGGCAGATTTACAGGTTGATCTGTGGAGCTTCAAAGCTTAAGCCACTTTCCCATTCACTCATCCAGTTCTAATATTCTAGAACTTAAAAAATATATTCTATAACTTATAAAAATGTCTAAAATAAAAGCTAACGTTCACAGAAGGACTATAAGGAACAGTTCATTCTATAATTAATAAAATGAAAACACGTGTTCATACTTTCATTTGTCTGCTTGGCAATATCGGTGATCAGTGAATCAGGACTTCAGTGAATGTGTTTCTGTTGAATAACAGAGCCCCTGGGCTTGGTGACTTCTCTCTCCTCTGGCTACTTTCTTGAGGAATGAAAGTAGTGCTGGGCACAGTGGGGGAACGAAGAGAATATCTGTGGATGAAATGGCCTGAAACTGCAATAGGGAGAAGGAATGGGCATCTGCAGACTAGACAGCATTCAGAGGATCAACCTTGTCCAGTTCAGCCTTTCCTAAACTTGAACTTAGACCATTTAACCATCCTGTATGATATACTGTAATAATGGACACATGACACTGTGATGGAACAACACAGAGTCAACTCCAATGTAATTTTGGGCTCTAGTTAATAATAATAATATCCCCATATTGATTAATCAGTAGTAACAAATACACCCATGAATACAAGATGCTAAGAATAGTAGAAGGGAGCTCTGACTGTGTAGTTTGTAGGCATAGGCACTGCTAACCCAAAGTTGGTGCCTCTTTGGCCGTTCGAATCCACAAGGGCTCCATGGAAGAAAGACAGCCAACTCCTCTTATGCAATAGATAGATTCTGAATATCTGCTGGAGGGTCACCCATGAGTTCCACATCAATGGCAGTGAGTGAGTTTGAGGTTTGCCTTGAATAATAGGAAAATTATATACAGAAGATGATAGATAAAATAACTTTGTACTTTTAGCACAATTTTTCTGTAAATCCAAAATCACTCCAAAAAATATGCCCTGTTAAAAAAATAAAACTAAACCCCAACTTGAACTGGACCAGCATCCTTCATGAAGACTACTCCCTCTTTTTCAAGGTTAACTCTTCATAAAAAGTCAGTCTCTTGATTCCATTTTTTTTTGTAGGTCAGGTAAACATGATGGTTACAAATTTGCCCAAGAATTTATGGAGCAAAACCCTTTAGCCAAGATGACTGCAACAAATCAGCATAAAGACTGCTGGGGACAGGAACACCCTTCTGAGCCCCAGTCCAGTAAGTAAAGGTGGAAAGCACACATGTGTTCATCTCAAGAGACATTAACAAGTAAGCTGTTGGGATTATCAGTTCCAGAGAATGTTCCTCAAAGACTTAATAAGAGATCTATCTGCTGGTAGACCAGACCTCACACTGGCAGTGAGTAACTTGGACCAAGAAAACTCAGACACATTTCCGATGTGATATTCCCACTATGGGCTTCACGGCCA